ATATATATATTATAATATAATATAATATAATATATATAAAGTACTATATAGGATACAGCGACTCGCTTCAGATAAGGTGTCTGTGCCATGTGTATACTCTCTTGCTTGTGTGTGAGACATCCCCGACAGTATTATCGCTCTAATGAGGATCACACACACTGCTCTACATCTCTCTAATCATCCCTCTTTCATTTTCTTGCAACTCAAAGCCACAGCCGTGCATTTCTCTCCCTCTCTCTCTCTCTCTCTTTGTCTTTCTCATTTTTTTTTCTTTCTTTCACGATTACAATTAAAATCATCTCTCCGTCTCTCACCGCTTCATGTCTCTCCCTTTCCATCCGTCACGCTCCTATCCCCCTTCATATATGCAGACTGTTGAGATTTGTTCAGCCTCCCTCTCTTCTCCCTCCTCTTGGACGCTCACTCATTTATATTTCTTTCTCTACATCCATCTTCCACAGTTGCTTAGGTGCTTTTCATTTGTTCCCTCATTTGATCTCTTTTATACCTCTCTATTTGTCATCATCTGGTGATTTGCTAATGTGAGCCGGTGAGAGGTGAAGGGCAGCAGGGGTTGCCAGCACCGGCTGGGTTTTCTGTGAAGGTTTCCAGGGGGAAACAAACCCACAGCTCTCTCAGTGATCCTGCTGCACTGACTGAGCTCACAGACCAGTTGCACTCCTATTGCACGAGGTTCTATCTGTCTGGTTTTAATGAACGCTGGCAACGTGATCGTCATCCTAATACAACTCTAAAGTTTGAAAAATACCAGTAGCTGATATTTTCCCATCCACATACACTCATGATGATAATCCTGTATTGTTCTAAGCTGGAGTCCAAATGCTAATGCAAAATAATTAGATTAAAATCTACAAAATAGATTCTGTTTGACAGTGATCAACAGAAACAATACTCTTGAAAACAAATCTCCGTAATCTCATTTTTGGCAGCAATTACAGTTTGTAAGTCTGTGTTGATACAACTGGACACTGGACATTTTTGCCAAACGGGTAAGTTACATGGAGAGCAAATTGAAGGCCCTGCATTAAGTAAGTCAGCCAGTAAGCTAAAGAGTTGTTTGCTTAGTGTCTCCCATCTCAACCATAAGACCTGTAGCTGTGTCTGGAGAGTCTGCTGTATAGGCCTCTTGACGGCCTCCCTCACTGCCTCACGCTCACTTACCACACTTTCTGTTTTACTTTACTCCCTGTTCAGTGCCTTGACATGTTTCTGGTATCCTTCCACTGATTGGTACTCTTTGATAACTTTTTCACACATTTGTTTGGAATAGGCAAAGACAATATGAATAGACATTTGATGTGGCACAGGGTTCTCTGTCACACTATCATGGCTTACTGGGACATTTGACTAGAACAGAGGCACTGTTAATGTTATCAGTAAAAAATATGCTTTTACTACTACAGACAAGTGACTATATGTCTGCTGCCTAATTTTCTTTTGTATTGGTGATGTAGTTTTAGCCAAGAAATTGACTAACCAGCTATTGCACCCTGCAGAAACAGGCGTATTTATCCTAAAATCACTTGTCACACCTTGATTACACACACACGTGATCTCTATTGAAATAAAAACACTTGGTTAGCAGTGATACTTTTAGGCGTGTCAGAGTAAAGGAGAAAAATATATCTGCAATCTGTTTACTTACTTTAAATACTTTTGTTCACTTTAACATCAAAGAGTCTTTGTTGATCAGTGTCAAAAAGTCCTTTCAAACCACTGTGATTCAGTGCTATAAAACAATAAAACATGAAAACGTTTCAGGCAGGTACTTTTATGGACACTATAAAGGTTTCCTGCGTGGGTTGGAAAGTAACGGATGAAACTTTTCAGATATGCTCGTCTTAAAGTAATGTAATGCGATGTTTTTACAAAACTATTATATTAGCAGTAAGAAATAATATGAGACCAATTCAAATGTTTTTTTTAAGCTGGTATGACACAAGAACTATATAATAATGTAATGTGTTTTTCAGTTATCAATATTATATCCTAGTGCAGTACACTTCAGATACCTAAACACTATTTATTGTTAATACTGAAAACCTTCATAATCATTTATTTTTATGTTTGAGTTGAATGATAATATTTGCTGTATAAGATTTATAAAACCTGTTTAGAACAATTATCTTCAAGAATTGGAACACTTGAAGCAAGCTTCAAATGCAACAGCAAAGCAACTAGGACGAGGTGTTACTACACTACACTACAGTGTCCTGCGTGCCACTGACATATGAAAACAGATGGCTGCATTTAGTGCTGTTTCCGCTCTACTTAATCTAACACTTACTATCGTTTTTAATCTGTTTTATGACCAGTGTGTCACTACAGTGTCAGTGCTGTCATCTGGCTCCTCTGGCACCATAATAATCCATAAAGATTAAGAGTGTATTTCCTGATAGGACAAGTAAAGATGGAGTGGATATGGCATGATGGTAATAACCATAAAGATATTTATCATGGTGTCACTGTTACATTCTTGAGGCATTGAACTGATAAAGTTGTATTATGGATTTGTATTGATCGATTGAGTGCGTGAGTGAATAGTGTCACTATTAAACCATTTAGGTCAGATAATCGTACAGTAAAAGTGAATGGCCACGTTCTCTAAGTGTATTACTGTAACAGGTGTCACTGAACATTAAAGCAACGGTTGTTACTGCTCTTGTTTTTGGCATGGTAGAACTGGTCTCTCTCAAGTCAGAGTCTTGTTTGTTTAATGTATTTACTGTGTGTGTGTCATTGTGTGTTGGCTCTGACAGTGTGTGTGCTTTTGGTTTCAACAGCAATCACCCGACACTATCCCCGGCCCGAGCACTGGACCCACAGTACACAAGGTAAGAAAACACACACACACACTCCTCCCAGCCCACCAGCAACCCCAGGTGATGTCATCCCCTTTTGTTTTGGATTGTAAAAGCCAAAGTGTGTTGTTTTGCCCTAAATACAGATGACATCAGTGGTGATATTACTTTTTGGGCGCCTTTTTCCAAGCCAGTTTCATCACCAGATGTAACACACACACACGCAACAACACACACACCACACCACACGCACACACACACCACACACCACACAACACACACACACCACGGCGGGGCCACAACCAGCAACACCACTCCTCCACACACACAGCCACACACAGTCGGGAGAGAGTCTTAATTTTATCATGGCAATCTTATAAATTGCGGTTGGCAAAATATTTCAGTAAGTGCACTCTGAAAAAGCTTTAAGGGCTTTAAATAATATCATGTGAGTAAAGTTTTCTTTGAACACTGAATATACTGAGCTAAAGAAATAAAAAAGTTTTAAAAAATGAAATATCCAAGCATCTGAAAAACATTAAGATGCTTCTTATTTATGTTGCACTGCTGTTACCGCTGTGCCAAAATATCTTTTTGTGCTGCTTGGTTGTTTGTCCCCTCAGCGCCTGTTGTATTTGTTTTTCTTTTGGTTGTCTTTCTCTAGATTTTCTTGGTTATATCGTGTCTCATCGCAAACTTAAGCATTGATGTGGTACCCAAAGTAATAAGACACTGGTAAAACTGTACGCCTGAAGGCCCAGGAGACCACCCTTTTACAAAGGAGCCCTTAAAGCTTCATCCTTAGACTTAAAAATCTCCCCAAACTCACTAATTTTGTGTAGCAAATAATTTACTAAGAATTGATTTAACCTTGGTCACTGAAAGCTGGATCAATAAACTTGATAGGAGGTTAGTTTGTTAATGATGGGTGACAAATGAGTGCTAGTCAGTCCAAGGCTGAACTTCCACCCTCTTGACCTCTCCAAACCTTTATGATTCAACTACTTCAAAAATGAGACATTGTTAAGCAACTTAAATGGCCTATTTGTGTAAGATTATTCTCAAAAATCTCTACGCTTGTGCTGAAAACAAAAGGTATCAAACAATTTGTCGATTGTCCAAAACTTGAGTCAAGTATTTTGTTTTATTGGCAACGACCCCATAAGTGAAAGAAATGGCAATCAAGT